CTTGTGAAATGCAGGTTGCAGTTTTGCTATCTATATTTGTAAATAACCTTATAGACTCTATCGATCTACCCAGGTCTCCATTCAAAGTTCCATGGTAAGTTGGCGGACTTCCCGTGGTCAGTATCCATCGAACGGCTTGGCAAAAAGGCCAAACTCGTCAAGCTCGCGTCAGATGGAACGTGTGGACAGCTCCGTTCACCGAAGAGACAGCTCCATTCACGTATTAGTCATGGCCATTGATTTTACATGGCATGGTGGCCTTGAAATGCTGCGTCATGAATAAGCAGCAACCCTGAGTAAGCGCAGGTGATATTGCTTTGCAAAAGCACAGCAAAGGCAATGAGAACAGAGACGTCTCGATCAAGGAAGCATAAATGTTCTTCATCAAAGCGATCAAAAAGAAAACAGTGAGGGGTGAAATTCCAGTAGAAAGTCCCTCGTGTTACTGGACAAGCTCAGCGCTGCAAACACCTTGCCGTAAAAGAACATTCAGCAGGATTGGTGGCCTCAATGACAAGTTCCAACGGATGAAGAGATGCAAAAATATGACTGTGGGACACTCACAAAATAGAAACGCGGCGCATTCCTTCATAGCGACTTATTGCTTAGTTGCTGATGACCATTGGGAGACCCACGATGCACACGCGAGCGGCACTTCATGGGTGGTTCATGTAACATACTGCAAGCTTCTACAGTCCTCATCATTGCGGACCGGTGGGGCGTGTCAGTGCGGCTGCGTTTGGCGCGGTGCCAAAGTCGTTCTGCACCAGTTGTTGAAGCGGGCAAGTGACATTACTGTATTATATCCTTCGTATTACTCGTTTTCTACCACTTTTTGTCGCATACGCGTTTCAAAAAAGGCTGAGAACGGCTTCAACAGTGTGCACACTCATACTGGCTGACACGCCCCACCGGTCCGCAATGATGAGGACTGTACAACGAACCATTAACATCCTGGTGCGAATGTCGCGCACACCGCGCCCTTTCGCAGGCTACCTTGACCGGCCTCGCAACATGGATCTGTTGATCACGTATCTGACAAGATAATCGTGACATACCGCACTGGTGGGCGTGGCAGGCGGCGCCGGTCCGACAGACAAGTTGTCCTGGCTGACCGTTTGAACCTGAGTGAATATATGGGTCAAAGGGTTGGGAAAATTGAACATCGCCAGTCAGAGTCTTATCTTTGCTTGATTGTGTGAGTGTCGCTGCATGGATCGGCAAATCACCATCACAATTTGCCGCGCATGGCCGCACAATACGCCGCGCGCGACTACGCGACAAATTATGGTTGAGCGGATTTTCCTAGAAGCTTGAGAATAGCCATCTCTATATTGATATGAGGTGAGCCCTTGTTAGACTTTCACTGTAGATCTACGAGGCTCTCAAGAGGAAAAAAAACAAGAGAAAATAAAGGAATTATGATTCTGAATTAGCAATACAGCCAGTGAACATTTTAGGCTCGCAGATTCTAAGGAATGATAAAAAGAGGAACGACTCAATCGGAGAGGACTGATTCCCAAAAAGCAAACTCGTTTTTGGGCGAAGACGAATGAAAACGCTCAATAATTGAAATTTGTAATGTAGCAACAAATTACTAGTTAGCAATTGCAAGTAAAGTTAGTAAAACTCTTGGAAAGCAATGATGTTTCAGAACTCCGCAAAGTGACTCAAGTGAGATTCAACGTTGAAACTGAGCAGAGATAAAGAATCATACCGTCACTCTAGCGACAAGCTATGCCACCCAGCTGACAATCCCTCTCATTCCGAAACAGTAACCCGCGCTCCAAAGTTACATCTCGCTCTACGGCGAATAACGGGCGGTCCAATTATGCTGTCGATTTACTTTCGCTTTTTCATCGTCTATTTCTGCGGAATATCACGTTTAATGTTTGCAGAATAAATGTATTTCTATAATAAACTGGCTCAGAGCGGTTCTAGTTGCCTTTCTGTTTTTATTCCTTTCATAATTTTTTTTATTTTTTGAAATAAATTGGGTTTTCTTTTTGCTCCAACCGTATTGTGGGATCGGTTCTCACATGATGCTTTTTATTGCTTTTCTTTGGTAGATTTATGAATCTATTTTTAATTCTGCTAGCCACTGGTTCGACCATCGCCCATCCTTGTCCAGGTGTTTCCACTTTGAAAGGAATTGGCAACTAAAACCGACCCTATACATCTCTTAGTTTTAGCTATATCGGCTATTCGGTATGAGAAGATCATAACGAGTTGATTGATTTGATTCACGGCTATTACTACACTTCCTTGCGCGATGTCCAAATGAACAGTTTTAGAATCTCGATTAATGACAAGTTTTCCCGTCCGTAAGTGGGAGATAGTGGTTGGTTTGATAATATCAAGACCAGAGATCAATATTTCCGAGTAGTCTTGGGAAATTGATTTTGTTGAGAAACTTATGACTTTTGATTTGGTTGAGAAACTCATGACTCTCTATCAAGGATGGTCGTTCTTCAGCATTGCCGACTTAATTTTTAGGGCATTTCTTAGGCTGCGTTCATACCGTGCGACGTCGTCGTCAACGTCGACCAAAACTTTTGCGTTGCGTAAGCTGCGTCTAGTTGGTGAAGATTATATACGTATCGATCCGACGAAAGCTGCGTAACCGACGACTACTTCGCGAAGATTAGATACGTATCGATTCGACGACGCAACTTACGCAGCTTTCGTCGGTTTCGTCGAATCGATAGGTATCTAATCTTCGTGAAGTAGTCGTCGGTTACGCAGCTTTCGTCGGATCGATACGTATATAATCTTCACCAACTAGACGCAGCTTACGCAACGCAAAAGTTTTGGTCGACGTTGACGACGACGTCGCACGGTATGAACGCAGCCTTAGCTGTGCAGCGAGAACAACACAAAACTGGTCATAAATGAAGGCCTTCTTGTGGTGGTAGTGAGAGGAGCAAACAGGGCGCACGCTAGGGATCCTAGCGGAGGGGATCGTATACGATCGCTGGAGAGAGAGAGGGTCGTGCTTGCTTTTGAAAAAAAGTCTTCGGTTGTGAACTTTTCTCTGTTTTTTTTCTGTTTCGAGAGCGCTTTATTACCCCCCCGCCGCCTTCTACCCTTCCCGGCTCTATTCTCGCTCGACAATGATCTCTGGGGAAAAACTGGAGAATATCTTCGGGAAATGGTAGGAAGGTGAGAATTTATGAAAATGGACGTGGATCGGGGAATAGATCTGGAAGGGGGTCATGCCAGAGCAGGGAACTTGGAGGAGGGAGTCATATTCTGGGAGATTTTCACCCAGTGACGGGACGTGCCCTGGGAACAAAGCAGTTAGTTGAGCCCATGCACAGTACGGTAACTTCAGTAGGCGAACAACGCCTACTGAAGTTACCATACTGTGAGCCCATGCCCTTAGAATTTGACAGTCGCATTGCTCAGATAGTACGTTACTGCGTTTTTCCTTACAAATGCAAAAAAAACACTCAGAACTCGTCCCTTGTCACTTTCATTGTGTCACTTTTGCCTTCATTAATGGTATACTACTCAGGAATAAAGAAAGACTCCGCAAGTTAGTGCTCTTATGTAGTGCGCGGTACTGTTTGGCTATAAGATGCGCTGATACTCCCTGGTTTAATCAACGATTGGATCGCTGGCGTGATCGCGGGCGCTCCACCTTTAATCACTGGACCGTGGCAGCGGCACCTGGGATGAAGATTCCGTCGAGTTTTCTTTGTTCATTTTTCTTTGCATTCACTTGCCTGACCCCCATCAAGGACTAATCTTCTGTTTTCTCGACTTCCCGTGACGAAAATTTGATGGCTATAAGTGATGAATATTTTCCGCAAATGATGTGTCAGTAGAGTTTTTTGTGTCTTTTGGGTCGTAGTAATCGAACCGTGCCCGATCCTCGTGTAAGTATTTCTCTATATCCTTTCAGGCATGTCGGGAGCCTTGAAGAGAGTGTCGGCGACTGCTGTCAACTGGGCCAAATTAGGTCTGTTTTTTTTCTTTGCGATTTTTCCACTGAAATAGGTCATTTGTTTGAAGGGGAAAAGTTGATTCCGGAGCATGCCACTGAACTGTCACGCCTGAAGGGTGCCAGCCATACATTTTCGGCAGCAGTTAGTCAGCTCCCCGCTGATCTACCACAAGTGAGACTAGTTTTTGAACCAATCCAGTATCGTTTTTATTGTTCCCTTACACTCCTATTTCCACACAAGTTTCCAGGTTCGCGTCAGTTTGTTTACTTATCAAACAGGTTGAATCGTTGTGTCGTATTGCTCGTGTTGTGGCTAAACTGTGCGAGGCGGTTAGGACTCCTGAGCGCGTACTACTACTTTACTTCGATCGCGCGATGGGAACGCTCGAGCGATTGGAGCGCACAACCTCGACCGAGGCGCTCAACCGCCAAACAGTGGACCTACCCAACGGAAGAATTCAACTGGGCAGCGTTCATGCATTGAATGCGATCGGATCGCGAAGTATGAGCGCGCTCCATTTTAGTTGGTTCTTTTGGACTGGGAACAGTATCCTAAAAAGTAATCCAAATCAAATGAAACCAACAAAATAGCTAATAACTTCTTCCTAGGTACTTATTCATTTCCATGGCGCTTTCCAGTAACCCACCAATGATTGCCCCATGAAGACTGGTGTGCCCTGATCAGGAGTCCTAACCTAGCTTCTTGACGTGGTGATGTCTCATCGTGTAGTGATTGTTTCTCTAATGTTTCTGATGGATTAAGGTTGACTTCGAGGCTTTGAAAAAAGCCATGCCCGCCCACTCCGCTATCTTGGATTCTCTTCAGAAACAGTTTGATGCAATCAAGATTCCTTATGGGGAGATTCCAAAGCAATACTTACAGGTATCCGTTTACAGATTTTTTGATAGTTTTCAGCGTTTCTTTAGTTTCTCCACTTGTTCGCCTCATTTTGAGGCTGATTTTTAACTGTGGCAACTGTATGCATTGTGGCCCCGAATTCGATGGATGACAAAATAATTGTTATATGCAAAGCTGGGATTCAATCTAAACGCATTCAGGAAGTCGATCACTGGGTTGAATACAACAATGAGCGCATAAAGCTCCATGACATGAAAGTTGCCGATGGATTGGAGCAAGCCAAGAAGGTAAGTTTTATTATGTATAAAGGGAAGTGGGAAATAAGGGGCAGGGAAATAATGAGAAAGCTGCATTTATTCTAGTGATAATGATGAAAACCGAAACATACCTCATTCTTCTGGGATCACCCTGTACTTCAATACACTTTTCCCAATGTGCCACGGGACTGGATTGCCAGACATATAGCTTGGATGCGGCTTGCCGATGCTGCGTTCTTTACTTGTGTGTAGAACTTAATATGGCATATGGCTAACCCTATCCTCTAGTCTCATTTCCGCGTTTTTAGAGTGACGAAATAGGCACATTTTTATGGCTGCAAGTCCGTTCACATCTCACATGAGTGGGACCGCGATCTTCATAGGTCACCGTGTTTTTAAAGGCAGTTAGCACGATAATTTTTCGGTCTAAAATGCTAGCAGCAGTTAGCACGATAATTTTTCGGTCTAAAATGCTAGCAGAGCGCTATATAGTAGGAAAATGGCGAAAATCGAAGTGAAAACTGCGAAGGAAAGCCTTCGTTCTCAGAAAGCAATTTCGGACGAGTTCCCCTTAGGCATATTGTCAGTAACCGCTACGGTAGGTACAGGTGCATGCATGTACTCATATATCCATGCAGCACCGCAGCCGCTTCATATCAATCCCTTCGCTTCATATTTTACTTAGCAAATGAAGCATCAGGTACGGTCGTCCATTTGTGGGCGGGCGGGCGCGGTGGGCGTTCGGGTCGGTATGTTGTAGCTTGATAGGGCCTTATAAGGGTACCTTCCTTGGAAAAGGCGCTACGCAGCGCCTGCTCAGGGTCGCGGAATTCCGTCCTGCCAGGCGTATTAATCCTACTCGTCTTTAGGGATTTATCGTGCCAACTGCCTTTAAGTGTCCAAAGGTGAAAATTGCTGTAGATGTCCGGACTGTATGGTGGGTTTCCAGAACCTCGAGTTTCGTCTCCTTTATTGTACCAAAAGCGAAACTGCAAGCTGCTCTAATTCTACCCCCCCCCCCCTCTTGATTCTGGCTATGGAGCTACAGTGTCTACTGGTTTACCACACGACGGCGACTAACGCAGGAAAAACAGCGACATTAGATGTCGAAGTGATGGCGACTGCATTAATCAGCGCTGAATATTAACAGTCTGACCAAGCCCTGGAAAGAAACAGTGCCAAAATCTCTTCACTTTCTGACCTTCTCTTGTAAAATACTGAACTTTTAACTGGGATTTTTGTGTTGATAAGCTTCATAACTCTATTCTAAT